AAATTGAGTAACTGTAGTCTAGACAACCCAAAATAATCATGTTCACACATGTGGGAGGTTAAGGTCAGAGTTCAAATTTTCTGAAAACTTGAACTCTACTCACATGTCACCTATGATTTCCATATTGCTGTCACATCTATCGGTCCTACATTTTGCTGCTTCCATCAAAGTCAAAATGAGCTAATGTTGTTTTGAAAAAGACACTTTCTCAGTTTAAACTTTTAAAATGTTCTGTTGTGAATATGTGGGTTCATTGGATTTGCACAAACTGCTTTCTGTCATTTATGTTTATATATTTTGTACATTGAGACTTTGGGAGGCTGGCCTAAGTGTGTGTGAAATGACATTTCCTAGAGCAATAATGTAAAGAAAATGTGAATGAATAAGTTTGTATTTATGAACGTTTTATAAATGTTACTTTTCATCGCTCTGTAAAACATTAACACAGAAACAGATGGATGATTGTGTGTGTGTGTGTGAGTGTGAGTGAGAGGTGACTGTGTGATGATTAAATCAATAAACATGATACTGAATGACACAACTTGACTTGGTGATGAAACCTGCACGTCGCTTCACTCGCTCAAGATTGGGGAAAATCAATGAAGCTACTCACACATTTGTGTCTGGTTATTTTCAGTATGCGCACTGCTCGCTGCATATACATGTATGACTTTTTATTGAGGGAGGGGCCATGAGTCTTTTGATGAGTAAGCATGCTAAATGTTTGGCATGGGTGCAGTTATCTTTTGTTGACAAGACTGAATGCAAAACAGTTCTGTTGCCCAATTACTGGAGTTGTTCACTGATGGCTAAAAGCTGCAGTAAAACCAGGCAGTTTCCATCAGTCCTACAGTCTAGTCATTTTATCAGGCTTTTCTATTTGGTGTTGTAGGGTTGTTGTTGTTTTTTTAAATTTCACAACAAAAGCTGCCTTGGGGTTTGTTTTACTGTGAGGTAAAGAGTCCAGTGGAGGGGAAAATGACAATCGGAAGGTATTTGGCATCCAGCAAAACCAGACTCGGGGAGGAGTTTATCTGCCATAACCAGTTAAGAGTGAAGGCAAAGACATAAAAAAGGGGAGAACAGGGATGATAAACTAGCAATGGGAGAGAGAAGACAAAATCGAACAACATATTCCAGAGGTATATAAACACACGGGCAGTAAAAAGAGGTGAGTGCATTAGAAAAAAACAAAAAAACCTGCAGACACAGGGACAACATGCCAACTCCACAAAGAAAGGCCCCTGCTTTGATTCAAACCCAACCTCCTTATATGAAAATAGTGCTAACCACCGTTCCCCACTTTGACTAAAGGATATAAGATAGTCAACACTTATCTTCAGTTCTGAATAAGGCAACAATAAAACGCCCATGGCAAATCAGGAGCAAAATGTGTCTTTGTAGTAATGTCCCAAAAATATTTTATGTATTAAAAATATATATTTATATGCTTTATATATTATTAATGCTTTGTGTTATTGTTTTAGTGCAGTGATATGGTAGTTAAAATAGTTTACTCTGATTATTTCCATAACGTAAATTATTTTGGAGAAACGGGTAAATATGCCAGCATTTGGACACGTATAACTTCCCGGTGTTGTGCCAAAAAGTGATTGCCTGCCAAAAACTGATTTCCAATGTTTCTGTGTATTTTTTACATGTAATATCTTTACATATGTTGGTAAATAGACTTCGTTGAACAGGGTTTACAAAGGGGTTATATATAGAATTAAAAAA